GGTGTTAAGTCATCGATTAAGTCCCTCAAATGGCTACACCCTTAAAGCCGTAAAAAAAAAGAATAAAAAAAACAGTGCGCAGCAGTTATTGTTTTTTTTTCTTCTGATCTGCACGGCTGCGCTGTTTTATTTCTAGCCATGGCCTCCTTTATTCTAGAAGACCTGTCATATCGGAAAAGAGTGTGACCTCTCTAAAGGGGAAAGGAGATTAAAAAAAAAAGAGGGTGTGCGAAGGGAGTCTCTCGAGCAGCGCCAAACAATACCCGAGCGGTAAAATCCGGAAACACGGACAGGCTACTTTTTGTCTCGTTTTATTCGAGAAAGAAAAACATTTTGCGTGGACCCTCCACCATTCCGCTCCTCTCCCGTTTGCTTGTATCCGATCGCCTGGACCATCCCTATTGAGATGACTATCTTCAAACATCGCACGCAATGCTGTCTGCTCAGTTGTCAAATTCATTGTTAATATCAAGGGCCACTATATCAGTCAAGCGAATGTGGAAACTCTTGTAGCGGCAAATGCCGAATTAACTTCCAAATAGCTATTGAAAATAAGCCCCGTCGTTTTTAAAACCTTCAGAAGAGCTCGGCGCAAAAAAAAAAGTATATTGTTTAAAACAAATCAAGTTAATGAGATTTTTTGTATTTAAATAGATCTCTTGGAAAATAGAAGCGATCCTGCCAGTGTAGTGCCGAGTAAAGCATCGTGGGAAGCCCTTGGCCACAGTTTCGTTTTGAATTTGCCAACCACACTTCGCGATATTCCCGGTCACGACCAAATACATGCAGTGCTTGAATGTTCGAATACTCTAAGTATTGCCTACCCATAAAGATAAAATGCTGGGGACCTTTTCTTATTGTTTTATTTTGCAGGAGGGGTGCTCCCGGCGTGCCAGAGTTTGTGGGAATGTAAACACGACTACGAAGGCACATGGAAGATGTATACTGGGCCGGTCAGCCTGTTCCAATGCTGCACTCTGGGGCCCTAAACTCGTCAAGCACAAAGTTGAAGCCGAAAGTTCGCGGAGCGGGCGGATTGGACGTCAGCGAAAGAAGCGTGAAGTCCTGGTCTTGATAGGCCCATCGGTGCGCTCCGTCAACTTTGGCCCCAACTTTGTGTTGGACGAGTTTAGAAGCCCTGAAGCGGTAGCAGGACGCCAGATAGAGATGGGACGCGGCTGGTTGGACTCCTACAGACCTGTAGCTCTGAAGTTGTGAACAGCGCCCCTGGAGAGAAACATAGGATATATTAAGGTAGCATTTTCAATGTGCGTAGCGTTGCGTCCTTTCAAACGCTCTGTTAGTGCGCGTGAACCATGAGCAGACGCCATGGGAAACTGACAGCCGCTAGTTTACGCCCGTGGGCGGTACATGATGGGACGCTAGGACGCCGCTTCACGTCAGCATTAAATGGTCCCGTCTCGCGAACGCTAGCAAATGCGCCTTTTTCGTGGTTGCGTATTGTGAACACTACAGCGCCCCCTGGTCGAGAGAAACACTCCTATACCCCTCGCTAATATAAGGCAGGTCCTCACGGCAGCAGGAGGTCCGTGTTTCAACAGGGCTTTCAGGAAGATGAATGGGTGTAACGCGAGCGAGTCCTGACTTTCCTTTCAGCCAGTGCCGAGATGCACTTGCTCGTCAACGGGGCTATCGAACTCGAAACCCTACCGCTCCTTTCCACGGCCAAAGAGTTCTTATAATGCAACCCGCAGAGCGTCGCATGCAGTAATTTTTTTAATTATTCTTTACTTTAGCTAGAAACTAGTGACTCTCTTAAACTAGATGCATTTTTGAACATGTTTGATTGATTGATCGATTCGTCTGATCACTGATAACTAAGCGGAAGAAAGAATTTCTTTATATAGAAAGTACAGCTTCATGAGAAACGTTTTATTGATGTATTGGTCGCCATGCTAGAACAAAAGTATTTTTTGTCAAGAAGCTACCATTTTTTTTTCTGAGTTAATTGCAACAAAACACTCCGTCTCTAATTTCCGTTTCATTTTTTTTTATTTTTTTTTTCCTTGCGTTATGATTTTGTTGCTATCGGACTTTACGTCCCTGACAAACGATGTGGACGGTAGAAATCAAGCTCAACTCTCCGATTCGCTTGGAGAAGCACATTTTATAGCTCCTATTCAGCCTAATATTGTGCGATGATTCTTCAGTATAAATACAAAACAGATGTTAATAGAACACCAAATGACTGACAACTGGCAATATATATATATATATATATTTCCAGGATTATTTTTGCGGGAGAGGTTTCATTCAAGTCAGCCTGGTCTGATTTATATCAGAATCAAATTTCTGAACTACATCGCGATCTATATCATACTGATCTACATTATTCCCCACCCTGATACGAAACCGTCGTTTACTGCGTCGTGCCCGCATAATCTGGCTCCTCGGCCAGGAGGCGATTTATCTTCCAAGTGCCCCATTGTCCCGCCTCGGTCTGGCCAGCGCCACATGAAAAGCGAAGGGACACTCGCGCTCATCTTACTGCCTCCACGTGGAAGATTTGGGGACAGCAAATAAGCCGCTGCACGAATCGTCTTTCCTCCGTGGCGAGTCAGTTCTCTCGTTTCACCTCTTCGCACTTTGCCTTGTGTTTTTTTAGCGAACAGGAATTGCGGGTTCTTGTTTATTCCTACGAGCATCTTAGCGTGCTTTCTTTAGACGTGGCTAGAAGGGTGCACAGAGACGTACCGTCGTGGATATAGACCAGTGTCGGAAATGTTAGCCCCCAGCGATAACAAATAGGAGATAACAATCTCGAACGCATTTTCTTGCGAAGACAGGGTCTGCGTATAAAACAAGATTTTGGCTTTCACAGCACCGTTGGCATCGGTGTTGTTCTTTGAGCTATCGTGACTATGCAGTTCTGATGTTATTGCACTACAATATGTGCGAACGTTTCTAAAAAAGTAAAAAGAAACGGAGTCTTGCAAAAAGCGCAGCTCTCCTTCTGTGTCATGGCGTCAGCATAAACAAATATAGCGGCGCCCATATAGGAACTTGGTTTCTTGGGCGCGTTTACACTAAGTTGGACCGCTGCTAACATTGCGACCCGGCAATCAAGCAGCGCCAAACGTTTATCGTCATGGCACTCGCGTTCTTTGCGAGTGACAGCGACGGCTGAACGAATCCCGCGCAGGTATGTGGCGCCATCTTGCGCTTTTCAACGTGAAACGTTCTATGGCTGGCTGCTCCGGATTTCGCAAAGCCATGGCCTGTGACGTCCGATAATGCAACGCCCGCGGTGTTGCATTGTGGGACGTCACGAACCTATGCACCATTCCAGTTTCTCCGCTAAATTTAGCGGGGAAGTTTAATTGGTGTATAGGTCACATGATATCCGGTCGCGTGACGTCGATTGTGCCGATAAATGTGGCGGGAAAATTAACGTCTTTTCAACTCTCCAACAATCCAGTTTCTCCGCCAAGTTTAGCGGAAATATTAACGTCACGCGATCTACAGACCAATTCAGTTTCCTCGCTCAATTTAGCGGACAAATTGACGTCACGTGACGTTCACCCTTTTCACGTATGTAACCAAATTGCCCCGCGATATCCCATACAATTTGTTTTTATATATGCGTACAATTGATTTAGCTTTAGAGAGAAAATAGAGATAGGCGACGAGCGTCGAAACGGTGCACTTTCGAAGCTGCCTGAATTGTTCCATCGGATCGTAGTGTCGGCTGAGGTCGTACTTAACGTGAAACTGAGTACATACTTATTCGTGCAGGACCTCGTGTCGCAGGCAATCTGGCGTCAGCGTCGAGTGGACAAAAAATCCCAAAATGCAGCGCGCGCAGCCACGTCTGTTACACGTGGCTGCGCGCGTTTTATTATGGAACTTTCCCGCTAAATTTTGGCGGGAAAAGTTTTCCGCCACATTTTGCTGAAAGTTTTTCCCCCATCTTCAGCGGGTCCATAGGGTCATGACGTCACAATCACGTATGATGTCACGTCACACGTGACGCTACCAACTAGACCACGGACACACGCTTGCACGGCTTAGCAACGAGCACGCGTTTATATGAGAAGGCTTTGCGAACGGAACACGATAACGCTATTGGGTAGGAGATCGAACAAAGCTCGACGACGAACTTTGTCGTCGAGCTTGGTGTCCCCACAGTCCAGTGTTTACTAACACAGTATATAAAAAAAAAGAAATTGAACGTCGCCTAGCGCGGTTTGGGCACAAGAAATTCACTTTGACCAATGCTTTGGTCGCACGAGGAGCGGCCTTCGAATCGTCATCTATATACGATATCGCTGATCAAAAACAAACAAGAACATTCGGTCAGTTGTCCCCGCAGCTGGAGCGTTTCGCTAGAGGCGTGACTGTTCGATCTCCTCCCCTCTCCTCCCCTCTTAAAGGCAAAGCTTAAGGGTCCCCAAGTTTTGTTCACCTTCGTGCTTAGCCACGAGGCTGACAAATCCGGTGCGCTGTATGAAGAAAAAAAGCGAGGCATTACAATTTAGTGCAAGTAAAATAATATAGAAAAGGCAGCCCAAGAATGATAGGCAGTCCCGATTGAAACGAGATCTTCTCCCAGTGGCGTGAGCGAGAGCAAATTTACGATGTTTTCCCGCATACCGGAAGTTCCGCGATTCCAGGTGACGGCGCCCGCGTAGAAAAGGTCTGTAATCTAATACCTCTCGTCTGCGCACCGTCGTCTTTGTCAACTGGGGCGTGGTTGGCGTTCTCGGATCACGCATGGCAACTCTCCTCTGCGGGTTATCAGACGCCGCTCGCATGTTCACAGCTTAGTGACTCAACATTTTCTGACACGGTGATAGAGGATGAAAGGGTGTATAGGCCATTATAATAATCACCTCCTGCGCGATGCCAGTTTTGATTATTTGGATAATGAAACACTTCACAGTCCCTGAAAATGCATGGTAACAGGTTTCCAGCTAAGTGACTCCGGAATGTTCGCCTCAAAGATAAGGTCTAGAAAGGTGCCTCTAGCAGGGGCTCACCGATGACGATGAGGTGCGTGGTGAGTTTCCTCGTCCAGTCCTTCTTGAAGTCCACGGCACACACGTAGGTGCCGTTGTCCGAGTGTCTGAGTCCGTCGATGCTCAGCACTGCGGGCACCTGGATGACCGAGAAGTAGGCACGTCCTTGAAGACCGCTCAGCTGGGCGCTCTGGCGGACCTGAGAGAGGCTTCCGGTCCTCGAGTTCACTTCCACACTGTACACGGGACTAGGGCTGAGGTCCTTGAACCACAGGATCCGCACGGGAAAGTCGCCGGGGCCCGGAGCCCTGATGTCGCAACTCAGCTGGACTCGGCTGTTTTCGAGCGCTGTCAGGAGTTGAGCTTCCGCTGCGAGAGAAGAAAACAAAATACGATTGAGATGGGGAGATAAGCCGTGAATGGAACAACAAAACAACTGCAGTGGTCTTTATCTCCAGTGCCCTATGACTGATAAAATGCACTATTTATAGGGACACTGACAGGTCAAAATCATGTTTCTTTTATAATCAGAAACGATTAAAAGCGATGCGTGGATATTACCCTCAATATTCGAAACTTAAAAACTCAGTATTTGAGGAATAAAAAATAAGAAAATATCCAAAAGGCGTATTTGAGGTTTTTGCGCAATCCGCAACAGGTCTTGTACACATTACTAAAAAAAGTAATCGATTACAATCACTATTACTCTTGGCTAAAAAGTATTCGATTAGCTTACTTCATTTCTCGACAGCAAAAGTAATTGGACAGTACTTTAAGAAGCAAGGGCTGCTTTTCTGATTACTTTATTCTGTGAAGACTTACATCTTTTGCGTTCATACAATTCAATACAATACAATAAACTTTATTTTTCCAGAAGTACTGGAGGGGTCCCCAGACAAAAGCTGCTAAAAGCAGCTTGACTGGGTCTGGGTCCCCCTTATACATGGCAGCAGCTCGGACAACAAACATATAAAACACTTTACCATGGTGATAAGAAAAATAAAACAAGGTCACATAACATCGCAGTAGCAGAAGAACAAAATTAGCTATGAATAGTTAAAACAGTAGGTACGTAAGTCTTTTTTGCCAATTGTGTAGATGTTTATGTTGTTCGTGGAACATTTATTTAACACGTACGGTACTTTGTAATGCAGTAATAGAAGTAGTTCATAACAATGAACTACTTCTAACCTCGAAACCTTGCTTGTCACAAGGACCGCGTAGGGGAAATACGGGATCTTGACGTCTATTTGAGCTGGCTTTGTTATATTTTGCATCCGCTTTAAGCATTCTTCGGTTCTGGTTTTCCTACGGGCTGCGAGTAGGTACCGTAAGCAGGATTTTTTTTCTTTTTCGGTGTGTGTGTGCGCGAGGGGGCTATTTTGAACAGAGGACGTACAAAGCTACATTCTGCTCCCTCAAACTTCGCCGTGAATGGCATTTGTCACGCACTGGGGCTTCCCTATCCCTATCCCAGCTTGAAAAAAAAACAAAAAACAACAAAAAAGGTGCATTCCACAGAAACTATAGACCGTTCCACTATGAAGAACGGAGCGAGAAAAAATTCCCTCCCCCTCTCACCCCGCACGCCGTCTGCTCCGCTGAGTGGACTGTACCTAACATCCGGCTGGCGTACAAACTCGGTTTAAAATCTCATCATTTGGGAAATTTCAAACGCAGATGCCCGGATTTTGATATGCAAGTTATCGTGTAATGCTATGCTCGATAAAAAGACTACCCGAGTCTAATTGCAATGTTACCTGCGTGCGAATAAAAAAAAAATGGAAGAAATGTGTCATGGCGAATTCCACGGGGCGTTTTGGAGCGCGCCGGGATCAGGTGACCAGATTTCTGAATGAAGCACACGATCCGAACGGGATCGCGCCGCCTACTGATGCTCAAATGCTCAACTGCGTATATAACCGCGTTCCATACCACAGATTCACTTTCTGACTTGGACCGTTGACTTAAGCAGTGGAGATGCGTTCCCACGGCTTCTAGCGGATACAAGCTGATCCGCTAGAAGAACCACTGGCTCTGCATTTCACCGACCATACAGTAGTATTAATGAAGTCGAAACGGGGAAACCCGGAACTATGCACTACCTATGAGCAATAAAAAAATATCAGCACCATCAGCACTACCTATGAACAATAAAATCAGTATCATCAGCACCACCAGAGCTTCGCCCCAATCAGCATCATTCACCACGTGGAGATGCGGTCATTTTTTTTTTTTTCGGACTTTGCCTTGCGGAAGGGTATTGGCAGTCCCCAAAAGTTACCGTTTCTGGGTTCCCACTTCGGGTGAGTAGTTCCTACCGAAGTGGTTGATTTGACGACAAACTCTAAGCGTCGATCGAGCGTTTGCTTCAATTGTGTCGCTCAGTGTCTGCGAAGGAAACGACGAAAAATAAGACTGTTCATGGTTAAAGGGGCACTGACTCCCCAAAGGTCGTATTTATTTTTATTGTCTAAAACGATGCAAGTTGCAGTCATAGACACGCAAAAAAAACCGCATCGCGAAAAAAATATTTTCCCGCGCGAGCGCGCGCCTTTTTATTTTTGGCGTTTGATTTTCCCGCCTCTCGCCTCCTCGCTTCTTTTGATCGGTGACGTCAAAAATCAGGAAATTTAGAAGCTTTGTAGGCGACATCTCTATAACATTTAATTACGGCAATCCTAAAACATGTTTTTTAACGCAATTGCGAACGCACTACGGCCCTTCTTTTTGAAATACCAAAAATCGGGAGTTCGTTGTGGTGCCGTCTCCTGGATTTGTATCGTCCAACGGAAAACAGGCGACATCGCTCAAAACCGGTCCGCCTCAACGCGGGCGCTCGCTCCTTTCCTCCTCGCTTTGGGTCGCCATGGCAACAGCAGGGAGTGGTGAAAGGAAGTCGACTCTCAGGTCTCCGCAATTTTTGACGTCAAGGCACCGGCGCCGAAAGCGCGGGAACTTCGAATTCGGCATTTGGAAATTGTTTTTTTACTTCACGAATACTGAATTCCCAAATCTCAAATTTTGAGGGTAATGTCCCGGCATCGTTTTCAATCGTTTCGGATAATAAAAAAAAATATGATTTTGATGTGTCAGTACCTCTTTAAGGCTGACTATTTCGCTGATTCGAGCAAATCCCATAGCTCACAAACGTAGACGGTTCTCGGAAATATATATATATATATATTTTTTTACAGTTGAGCTGTGAAGGGCTAGTTTCCCCAGTATTGTGTCCGTCAGCAACAAATGATGACACTAAACTCTGGACAGCTACCGCCATCTATGAGTGACGGCGGCAACCAGACAACAACATTGTCGGCTATCTGGTCTCCGCCGTTACTGATAGATGGCCGGCAACCTTACCAGCCTTTCCACTCTGGCTTGCCGATTAAGACCGGTCATTGCTTCATTCCCAACATATTACAGCTTCACTGGTCTTCCTTCACCAGAGTGGAAAGGCTGAAAGCTTTATTTTTGAACAGTTTTGTGTATGTCCGTGAACCTCACGAGGCATACTGTCATTGGCGAAAGAGAATGTTATGACAAATATTAAGTGTTTGTATTGATCGTTTCAAAGATTAAATGAAAGTATATCGCACATAAAACGCAGCCCCTTGAGTAGATCTGTTGTTGAGAAAATGTAATAATCAGGAACAGTTTTTGTTTTGTATCCTTGTTTTCGTTAAATACACAGCATAACACATGTATCACAAGACTGCGGAAAAAAATTATACGATCTTTAATTTGAAAAAAATTTCGGAGGTATTGTTTGAAAGAAACGTAGATTTGCTTGACAAAATATTGTAAAATTTCACAGATGAAAATTCACAGCTTCGTTCCTTACTAGATTGCAATAAAGAAACTCCAGAAACGCACTCCAAAGAACCGTTGATGTCGAAATAATGAATTTCCTGCAACGACGTTTGACGCCGAATATTTTGAAAGTTCTAAAAGTTTACATTCAGACTCACTCTGGCATTTCGACAATAATATATTTAAAAAAGAATGTACTTTGATAAATTATATGAAAAGGCCTGGCACCATCTCTCAGTAGTTTTGGAAGCTGATGAAACTATTTTTCAAACGCGTCACTTAAAATACTGTAACCTTGACGTAGCGTCCCTCTTAAGAGTAGAATCGATTGCTACAAATAAGAAAGAAAACTTGAACATGTCTTTCAAACCGTTTTCTTTATTTTTTTCCCCTTTTTTAACAGAATTGGATTAGTTTTTAACGATTGTTGCCACAGACTGCGCTTTCGTGCAGGAGTTTGCGACACCACAACACCCCGCATCAGCGTCAAGCCAAATCCCCTACGACGACAGCGCAAGCCCTGGAGAAAGGCGGAAATTGAGATTCGATTCGACCCGAAAATTGACCGCGTAGTCCAAAAAGAAAGCACTAAAGACTCTTCGAATTCCGGAGACACAACGACTCGCCGTTGATATGCCGTACGACCTTGTTTATTTTTCGTTCTGTATCGACGTACGAAACGGAGGCTAACATCAACTCCTCGAATCCTTGGTTGTTCTTGTCACGCCATTGGACGATTGGAGCTGTCACCCCAGGTTCCACCTTTTTCCTTCTGTTGTTCTTGTTCCATTGGATCTTGAGGGGGGATTTCCTGTCCGGAAACACTGAGAGTAAAATTGCCGCCGACAACCAATCCGTCTTGTTCCGTCAGCGACCAACCCACCCTGTGCCAATTTCAGCTCGGTCGACGTGAAAATGGTGGATTCGGCCTGCCACTTAAAGACCGGTTCACTCGAAGGCCCCATCTAATCTCGTAGAAAAACCGCAATTCCTGTTTCGAGTGGGCTGCGTTCGAGCGAGTGATTCAATCTAAGCTTGGAGTGGCTTTGAGGGAGCAACAACTCTGGTCCTAGGAAAAAAAAAAGTACAGAATTGTTCGATGGCAACCATGATTGTCTCGCGCAGAAAAAAGGGAGTACGTCATGGTGTTAATACTCGATTGCAACCATGGTGATAACATTGATTTACTGTGAGTTTTTACGGGTGAACCGTTCAACTTACTGAGACGGAGTTTAAGACAAACACAGAGCCTTGCGACTCCCGAGCTTTTAAAATTGCGACGCTGCCGATCCGATTGCGAAATGAACGGATAAAAATCCAATGAATGAATCATGAAGCAAAAGGTGTTAACGTTATAAGCCTTATATTGTCAACTTGGAAACCCTTTGTGCGCCATAAGTCGGGTAGTACGAGGTCCTAGACGTTCGCGAAAAAGAAAAGTTCTCGTGATGTTTTCGCACTTTGTTGGCGAGGACCGCATACTCTATACTGGGTTCCAACTTATGATGCACCCGGACGGACGCTGGGAGCCACGTTAAGCGAGGTTGACATCTCGAAATGTCGGTCGCCATTTTGAAGTTGCGACGTCACTCGCGTGGCACAAAGCTAGCGGTGGAAGCTGCGGTACTCGACGTCAAAACTGCGAAATCGCGAATGAAATCGCACCATGTGAATCGGGCTTCAGGCAATCCTGCGAGACAGGCGACTTCATGCTACGCGCGTCGCATCGTCCAAAACGTACAATCGCGTGACAGCCTCCCGGAGCTTGGATTCTACTCCGATGCATCGCAGCGTCCGTTTCGGTCCACAGCGAGGCAAAGGGTCTTCGCTTCCACGCGCGTGTGGCTCCGACGACGACGACCACCGCGACAGCACCGAAATACTGAGCAAACGAAACACCCATCTGGGCAAGTTATATGGAGAGGAAAGGCCAGACAAACGCACAAAAGAGACCGTGTCACTGGGGCCTGTCAATACCAGCCGCCGCGGAAATTTGACCCGCGCTCCAGCCTTTGGCGACTAAGGGGGTATCTCGTTCCCCAGGCAGGACTGCACAAAGGGCCGGGAAATCGGGAGATGGGGAACCGGACCGAGTCCTCCAATCCGTTTCCACCTGACGATGGACCGCGCCAGACGCTACGGGCTATCCGAGGCAATCCACCAATCCAATGCCGAGCGAGCGTCACGTGACCTCAAACCTCGGCCACTCGGATCACACATCGTATAAAAGTCAGTCTGCAGTCACTGTCTGAATCATGTTTCTTCCTCGTACGACGGACACTGGTCGTACAAATGCTGTCTTCGGCAGACACGTTCGAAGTCTAAATATCTGCGAAGCAAACGCGTTTTGAACCTGCTTGTGGCGCGTCCACATCTTATTTCAACATCTCTGCAGAAAACATCGCGTCTCTTGTGTGATTTGCGGGCAATGTGATTGGGGATTCTGGGATGGGTGCAGCGACGTAGGGGAGGTGGAGCGTGGTCACGTGAAGCGCTCGCCGCGCTGGATTGGCTGGGATGGCTGGTAACGTCAGGCGCGGTCCATCGTGGGGTGAACAGGGAGTGTGTTTCCCTCCCGAATGAAAGAGTGCGAAACAGAAGGAGAGAAAGAAAAGAAAGATACAGAAGCGAGAAAGAAAGTAAACAGGCACGAGTGGGAAAACTTAAATAAGTACGATAAAGAATAGGGAAAAAAAGGGAGGAAAAAAATGTTTCGGACTGACGAGGAGAGTCGTTGGGGAATAGGGAGGCATTGGCAGGGAAACGAGAAAGGAAATGAACAGAAGCGAGAAGCATTACGTCAGATTCGGAGACGTCTCTTCTCGAATTAATAAAAAGAATAGAAGGGGGATAGAGTGACAAGAAGGGACGAAAAGAGTTAAGGTACAAGGGAGGATGGGGCGCGATGGGAAGAGCTAAGTAACAGGGAAGGAGGGTAAATGGGGAAGACGAGGCACAAAAGTGGTGAGCAAGGGGAAGTCGAAGAGAAAAAAAGGGATAAGTGGCTTGACAGTATACTGCGTCCATTCCTAAGCCGAAAGGGCCACGGGAATTGCAATCTCGCCGAACCCCAATCAGCCGCCTCCTTTTCATCAATTTATCCCGCTCTCTGCGCGTGGGTGAGGGCGGGAGCGTAGTCACGTGTTGAAAAATAGATGTATGAGTGGTTTAGCGGGCACGTGGCTTCCACGGCACTGCCAGCTTAAAGGGATACTGAACCGAAAGTTCGGATGTTGCAAAATAAGTTCTCAGACGCGTTGAACGGGACGCTGCAAACTTCAAAACATCCCTCAAACATCGACATCTGAAATGGATGGCCGTACTTTTGGAAAAGAAGGGCGCGATCAAGTAAGGGCTATGACGCCATTGTGCCCCTGGAAAATTTGAGAATGAGGGGAAGCGTTTCTCTCCTCCTCGCTTCGATTGATCAGCTCGACGGAACGTAGCGAGGAGGAGACGGAATAAGAATCATGACATGACATGTCTCGGCGGCCTCGTCGGCCGTGTTCAATCGCGCACTTCTCCAAAAATACGGCCCTCCGTTAGAGATATATCGCAGTGGGAGTGACGTCTTTGGATTTTCCAGCGTCCCGCCAATCCGTCCAGCCTTATTTTGTGAGCTCGAAATTTCGGTTCAGTATCCCTGTAAGGATGGGCGGGGTAGACCTACCTTTCCAGCACTGGAGGGGAGAAATATAGAACCAACACCGAAGTCGAGAAGAAAGGGGAAATGAGTTTGAACAGATACGACCACCAAGGTAGTAAATAAAAGAACAAAGTAACGGGACAAGGGTAAAAGTAAAGACATCTATTGAGCACAAGCAAGGGGGGGGGGGGGGGCGAGGGAGAGAGAGAGACTTAAAATACCAAAGGCAGCGGCACACCACTGCTTCGATGTCCCTCATATGCGTCAACGCATCACTGAGTTCTCCTTCTCTACAATGGGTTGCGTCGGGACGCTCTTTCATTTGAAAAAAGTTCTTATCTTTTTGTTTCTTATCGTTTGGAAGCTGCTGCTGCTGCTTCTGCTGCTGCTGCTGCACTGATGTAGCTTTGTGTTGCACGACGGTCGGGAGAGATAACAAAGAATCCCGGCCCGGGGCGGGGAGGCACGGTTCGCTGGTTTTCAGCCCTCTGTCGATACGTTACAGTGATTGTGTCTTCGTTCTCCGTGTGTGTATCCCGGATAAAGCGACGAATGAAACGAGATGCCGAACCAGTTGTCCTTTGTTTATCAACATACGCGTCTCGACGGAACCCGGTTCCCTCCGCGGATTGTCTTTTGTGTTTTTGTTCTCTTGCGCGATTCGGAAGGAGTGATCTGAGAAAGACGCGCCCGGGGCCGCAACACGAGAGAGACACAAAATACATGGCTTGAAGACGACGTCGCTGTAGTCACTGCACCGTGCTGGTGGTCATTTTCTTGTTAAAACAAAAAAAAAAAAAAACTCGGGGGCATCAAATGTGCGTTGGAAGGGAGATCTCCTCAGCAGCAAGGACACCGCACTGGTTGCCAATGTAAAGTCAAGGCAATTCAAATAAAAACAAATTGGTGGTCAGTCGTTTCTACAGTGGGAGCTTTGTCTGCCAGAACATGGCGACAGTTATCCATCGTAAATGAGCAATTTAGCCAATGCAGTACGACTGCTAGCCAGTTTCTTTTTAAAGTGCGCCACGCGGTAGTGATACACGACCGCACGCCGCTATGAAGCTCATCTAGATCGAAACGGGCATGGGTGGGGATCGAACCCAGGATCCCCATGGGTTCTGGGTCGCGAGCATTCACTCCAAATGCTTCCAACCGATTTGCGCTAGCCTACACGGCCACCGACCCCCTCGATGCAAGTCACGGGTAGCAGACAACCAGCAGAAACCAGGCGGCCCCCGAAAAAGAAGACAAGGACAAACCAAATCCGTCTTAGAAATACGGAATGTATAGGGCTACCCCCCATGTCGTATATGTAACACTCCAAAAACTACATTTGGGCGTTCAGTCCACATACAATACCAAATGTTACGAGCGGCTTGATAGCTGTTGAAAATAACATACACGATAGCTAATGTGCGTATTAAAGTCTAAAAAAAAATACTAAGGTTTTCCAGTAGGGAAAAAAAAAAAAAACGTCCCAGGCAGCATATAGTATTGGGCCAACATTGGATTTGATGTGGCAAAGAATGGCCAAACAATGGCCCAAATCAGCCTTATGTTTCCCAATATTGGAATCACATTGGAAAATAATAGACTATCAAAGCCGATGGCTTTCCAACATTGGTGATACGTTGGCATAGGCTGGTCAACATTGGACTGTCAAAGCTAATAGCTTTCCAACATTGGATATACACCGGCATAAGTTGTCAAATATTGGACTGTCAAAGCCACTGGCTTTCTGAAATTGGCTATACGGCGGCGTAAGATGTCCAATATTAGAATGTCAAAGCCAATAGCTTTCCAATATTGGATATACGCCGGCATAACCAGTACAGTTTTGGACTGTCAGAGCCAATCGCTTTCCGATATTGAATATACGCTGGCTTAAGCTGGTCAATAATAAACAGTAAAAGCCAAGAGTTTTCCAATGTAGCCAATGGCTTATCAATATTTGTGTCGCCTAGGCTATAGACCCGCGACCCTTTTCTTTTGCATTGCAGAGGTAGGAAAGTGGAAAAGAATCATTCATGAGCTCGCTCGGGCGAGAATTTTATTTAGCCAACTTCATGGGGCGTACGTCGCCGGTGCATTATAACCGCGACCACAAATACGTCCTTAGCTGCCTATAGGACTATTGCAGTATTTTTTGCCGGCTGCTCTCCCTTCACATTGCCTTACCTCGGCGTTGACAGTTTAATTTCGTTTTTTAGATTTAATTATTTTTGTCTTTTCCAGTGTATTTTGTATGTATACGTAGCGTTAACGTCTTCTCTTTGTCCGTGCCCATGCTATGTTTCTATTTCTTTCTGCGTGCTC